ATTATTATTATTATGTATACATATCGAAATTATACATAAATGAATATAATGCTTATTATATTATGTGAACATAAATACATACGCATGTTACATAATATAAAATAAGAAATAAATTTTTCCCCAGCAAAATTAGAAACAGTGTAATACGATGATGAAAATATAATACTATAATATTTTGTATAGTACGGTTGCCAACCTTAAAATAGTCTTACACGTCGAGGTCATCCGGTGTCAGGGTCTAACCGCAAATTAATATAAAAATTAAAATTAAAATATATTTCTAGATCATTGAGCCATTACAATAAAAACATTGCATTAATTTGCCATTATATAATAATTTGTCATTATATAGTATTCCCCGTATATAATATTTTGTATAGTACGGTTGCCAACCTTAAAATAGTCTTACACGTCGAGGTCATCCGGTGTCAGGGTCTAACCGCAAATTAATATAAAAATTAAAATTAAAATATATTTCTAGATCATTGAGCCATTACAATAAAAACATTGCATGAATTTTCCATTACTTTAAATATTTTTTTCGTCAACTTTGAATGGAAATAAACTTTAGAATGCTACTACTGTTTGAGTAAAGGTTTTGAAATAACAAAAAAATTTGGATTTATTCTCTATTGTAAAGGTATTTCATACACATAAATTCTACACGAACATCATCCCTTCCCGGACATTTGTACTAAATCATTTTATTTTTCACAAATTCAATTAGTTTTCTCATCATTATTATAAGGAATTTCCGCTAAGTAACACCCTATACTATTATTGTCTATCTAAGGCCGATGCAGATGCAAAGGTAAAACCTTTTGCTAGCATCATAAACGGAGCGAAGTACAAAAACCTCCAGACCGAATTTCGGCCACGGCAGCCTGCCTCAACGGAGGCAGGCCGTCATGTAAACGGCGCAGGACAGGACTATAGTGCCCAAGTGTATGCGCAAGCACAGGTGCACTCTCTATTCCCTCACTCTCATATTCCGATGGGACGGTAAACCGACACGACCGGAGAGAGATCAGGCGCAGGACCAACGGCTTTACGTGCTTTCCGAGGCACGGGGGTGAGACACCGCCAACTTCCAGACTCCGGGCAACTACTGAGAATTTCTTGACGGAAAAACTTAATAACTAATTTTTTGGCCCGACTAATTTTTTGGAATTCGAACCCAGGACCTCATGATCAGCAGTCGTACTACTACAACCACTAGACCAACGAGGCAGTCGTAAACGGAGCGAAGTAAAAGTCTAAGGCCGGTTTTAAAGCTCGACCGACCATCAGTGCGTACCATCGGTTCTGACGGTACGCATAACCGATCGTCAGTTTGTAGCGTACAGAGCTTTCCTGAGCAACGAAACTGGCCGGACTGGTACAGTCACAAACACGTACACGAAATGGACGCGTTAACGCACATCGACGTGTGCAGAAAGTGAAGAATCGACGCTCCGGGAAGTCTGCAGTCTGTGAACACGTACAGGATCGCCCCCGTCACTACATCAGATTTGATAGACCACAAATCCTCGCTAAAGAACACCGATTCCTTCCAAGGATGATTCGCGAGGCTATTGAAATCAAAAAACATCCTAATTTCAATAGAGAAGATGGCTGGGTGCTACCATCTGCTTGGGATTCTATAATAAATTAAATTAAATCCCAACCCAAGCGTACAACTGAAAGACTTCAAGATACCATAAGTTCATACTGTGTAGATCGGAACAAAAGTTAAATTTTTATCTATGGTAACCGCTGTTAACTATGACATTTGGACGTTGAATATCTCAGTCCCCCCGTGACCATGGGTGCTGTAAAGCGCTCGAAATGTCGGGTATTTATAGTTAAATATACGCCATAAAATCCGTAAAAACTAGTATTATTTCAATGTGTAGTGTTCGCGTAAATATAAGAAATCATCATCTAATCAATTCAATTCAAATTCAGATTTTTATTGTTTACAAACTTTGTTTGCGTTGAGCTTCAAATATTTTCGAAAAAATTATGTAAATTAGCCTACGGGTTACGGAGGAGATAAATTTCAAAGAATCGTTTTCTTGCGTCATGGAAGCTCCGCTCCAATTGTATATAAGTATATAGAATAAGAAAAAATCTACCTGATGGGAGGAGGCGCTGTGATCCATAGACACCTACGTTTATTCACGACATTAAGAGTAAACATGCAGAAACGTTGTCACCCTGAAGACAAAGATGGATGGATTGCCTCGTTACCACTAAAAAGAGTTACCTACTACTAATTCTCCCCTTTCCCGCCCCGATAAGGCGGAAATCCGTTCAGGTATAAAGGGTTTCTGTAACAATCTACTACCTAAACGAAAAATAAATCTACATTCAGGTAAGAAGGGTTCATGCATTTATATGTCAAATTATTACGTGTAACACGAGTTTACAAAGCCTTCCTTTTCCCAATCCTATCGAGAGATATAGAGTAAACGATACCCTGACTTGAGGAATATTAGCATTTGTCTATATCACTTGGGTCTGTCTCATTATATTTAAAAAATATTTTATTATAATTTCAGCCTTGTTAAAGTATGTTACGAAATACTATATATATATATACTTATATATATATATATATATATATATATATATATATATATAATCTTTCTGACAACTTTGGGCTCAAATTTTATTTCTTTTCTATATCTATAAATCCATAAATAAAAACATATTTTATGACAAGTTTGTAAAAGCATGTTATTTTTTATTAAAATTTTACATTTACATTATTTTTAGGTAATATTACAAACTAGCTAAGCCCTCCATGTCGTGATTTTTTATTTAACTAATATTATATCAACACTATACAAAACTTTCGCTTTGTATCTAACATTTTCATCTAAGTGTCGGCCAGCTCTAAGACTGTGATACAGCTGCAGAAGCGTGTGTAATTATATAACCACGTAAAGTTAATTGTAATTGATAATCTGATTAACAAGAATCAATTGTGAAATTACAATAATTCCACTTTACATAAATTCAAATTTATCTTAAATCTTTGTAATGTATCTGTTAACCTAAATATAAAGAAATAACCCAACAATCTACTATGATTTTTTTTGTTTCGATAGAACTTGAAGCTTTTACAAGAGCTACTCGTAAGTCTTCGCTGAATAGAATATATTTACATTTTTTTTCTACTTTGGAAACTCCTAAGAAGTTGTAGTATTTTTAAAGTTAACTTTATGTAAATAATATCGAGTTGATTTAATTAGGGTTCCGTAGTCAACTAGGAACCCTTATAGTTTCGCCATGTCTGTCTGTCCGTCTGTCCGTCCTCGCTTAATCTCTGTGACCGTTAGCACTAGAAAGCTGAAATTTGGTACCAATATGTGTATCAATCACGCCGACAAAGTGCTAAAATAAAAATTGGAAAAAAATGTTTTATTAGGGTAGCCCCCCCTATATGTAAAGTGGGAAGTGATTTTTTTTTTAATTTCAACCCTAACGTGTGATATATTGTTGGAAAGGTATTTAAAAATGAATAGGGGTTTACTAAAATCATTTTTTGATAATGTTAATAATTTAGGAAATAATCGCTCCAAAAGTAAAAAACAATGTGTCCCCCCCCCTCTAACTTTTGAACCATAAGTTTAGAAAATATGAAAAAAATCTGGAAAGTAGAACTTTATAAGGACTTTCTAGGAAAATTATTTTGAACTTGGATGGAAAGAACAGTTTTTGTACAAACTCATAAGTGGGAACACTTACTGTGACGGACGGGAAACTACGGAACCCTACACTGAGCGTGGCCCGACACGCTCTTGGCCGCTTTTATGTTGTTGAGGTTTCGGTTCACTGTTCGCTAAGCATACAAGATGCCACGTTGCGTTTAGCCATTCGACAAACTATAAATGTGAGAGGCTTTTGACTATTTATGATCAACATATTTCTTAAGTACATTGCACCTCTGGTTTTTATTTTTATTGTGTTTAGTAAAATAACGTTAATTTTTAATTTACTTAATTGCTGGTAGGCATCAATTTTGCGCTACAGATTGATGCAGCAATACAGTCTATTTTTTTTAATAATTAATTTTTTATTTTAAAGAAACATACTTGACCTAAAGATATTTGCCTCAAAAATTACCTACTACTATCCAGACCATTCAGTATCTCAAAGAAATACCAGCGCTCAATACCATGAGTGTGTATGTTTCTGAGTGTCGCAGCATGCACATGACATTAGGTGGAATGTGACCTTGTTTGGTACCTTTTATAGTATTATACGAGTATTTAAAAAATTCCTAATCTGCCCAAGGATTTTAAAAAACTACCCCACTGTTGTTTGCACAGACATATAACTAGAGTAACGCAAACGATAACATCAGAAAAAGTTATATCATACGTGAGTAATTACCTCTTGACTAAAAAACTATTTTTTGTGCTTTGTGTTAATAATAGTATATACAACCAGGAAGTTAATCGAAGATCTAGTCAAATATAGAACATTGTTAGATATTATGAACATATTTTTGTAAACGAAAATTTGGTTTTTTCTCTTACGACCTTTTCGGTATACACATAATACAAAAACAGATTAACGTTATCTATATATTTAAATTTATGTTATAAAATGTTGTTAATTGTATATTCCTAGATAGTTTTGATTAAACTTGATTGAAATATAAAATGAAATTATTAAGCCGACACGAGCAGTCGTACATTAATCTTTTTATGACACGTCAATAATCGAAATGAAGACTCAATATAAGTTCGATAAACCGGTTTACTTACAGGATATAAAACGTTTCGACCAACATGCAATGCTTGAAAATATGAATTTATAAAAAACGTCTCTTGTTAACTCTATATCTTGATAACATTGAATTCAATTCACAACTAAAACTATAATTGAAATAAATGTTTAATGCTATCAGGATATATCCTAAAACATTTTCATTAAGCTAGTTTTTGTTACTTTTATGAAAAAGCCATTTACTGTTATCTAAAACACTATTTTGATAAAAGCCTTACCTTAAAAGCATTCCTGAATTTATTCGACATAATGTTGTAAAGGAATGGGTTTATCGCAGTCGAAAGAAAATACAACACGCCGGATAGATACGTCAAAACAAGGTACACCTGTGGAATAAAAAATGAAATTACCACTCTACAACGCTTACACCGTCGTACAAGATTAGATAAACTTAATGACGCTTATTACTAAGACGTGCTACGTGCTATATCCGTGTTGTATTCATTTTTATATCAAATTATTTATATAAAGAATAATTTCAGAATGTTTGAAGAAAATCGATTTTTAGTATGAATATATTAAATTTACTGGACCGTGTAGGGGCGGTATTATAATACCCACTACCCCATGGCGTCCCGTGGGTATCGTGAGAGTCGTAAGGGAGAAACAAATCAGAAGATGTCAGCAACGTCAAAAAATAACCACCTGCCATGCGAGGCAATCCATGAAGTAGGTATATGTGTAGCAGTGGACTTCCCAGGTTGTGACGTTAATTGTGAAGTTACTGTAAACAATTATAGTTTTAAAATAGAACGTTAGCAGTGAGAGCAGAAATTGTATGATTGTTTATTATAAAATAATTTTCAAGAATTCCTTTCCCTTGGATAATGTCAGATGCCTCGTCTGGAAAGATGTCCTAATGATGTAACTTCGAACAGACGGGATATTCAATTCGTTTATACTACTATTAATATAGTGTATTAACTGATTACGAGAAGAAAAACTGCCTATCAGATGTGACGAAGTACATATTATTTTGAAAGAGGTTTAAGTTCGAAAGAGGAACGAAGCTTACGAAAAAGGTAATAGATAATCTTAATACCTACGAAAAATGTAAACTACAAATGTCTTTAATATTTTTTTATTGCTTGTGTTATCTCAGCTCTTGTTTGTTTACGAATGTAATTTAAAAAACTAAATACTTTGTTTACTCGATCTTAAGATTTTTCCGTATAATCTCGCAAATAAAAAAGATAGAACCTTCAAGAAACGAGCTTACTTATTTTTAAGGCCGACAATGTACTTGCAATTCCCCTGGTGTTGCAATTGTTCATGGGCGGCGGTCGACACTTACCATCGGTTGAGCTACATGCTCGTATAAAAAAGTGAAACTTATTTTTCAAATTAAAAATTCAAATTTTCTTATGACTTCTTTCCGATAAGTTTCTAGTAAAATAATTATAAGATTGCCATATTTTAGCTCATAGATATTATTTCAAATACTAGCTAAAGAATCTAAAATCTACCTTAATTTAAATGTTACCATGAAAAATGTGTCTGTGGGATGATCCATACTTTTGCCATAAATAGCCAATAATCGTTGAACGTGGAAAGGAGCCCAACAAACGAAGAAAGATAACGCCACAGCAACTGCAAATGAAAATTATTTTTTAACAATTTAGGTATTTACCACGATTAATGAAACAGTTCATGTATTTTGTATTAATAAGTAGCTGGTACCCGGAGCATTGCTGCCGCAGAAGAAATTATTGTAGAAATATCATTTTAAATTTGGAAGGGTTATATTGTTTAATTGGTATGATAATGATGATGATATATAACTTTCAAATAAATTTGTCGGTACGATCAGCACGCCAACTACTGTAAGATAATTTTACTATGCCTATAAGCTTTGCGCAAGTGCAAGCAATAAGTTGACAAAGTTTTACCGCAATCTGATGAACAGCATGGCAGCGCATAAAATACGTATAAATAAACATTTATTTATGTATTTTAGATACGTTACTTGTTAGATCTATATACTTAGTAGTAGATAGATGTTGTGGCGGCTCTAGGGTGGTGCGAGCGGTGCGACCGCACCGGGCGCCGTCATCAGGGGGGCGCCGAAATCAACTAAGACGCTACCACCGAGCACCGGTCACTAATTCACTCACTCTTATCACTTACATTCCGTTTTGTTGACTCTAATTAGGAAGTCAAAGCACGAGTATTTTGTTGCTTACAAGCCAGTAAATGACTCTTCGGAAAAAGGACTTACTGGCCTCTTTCTTGATGCAATTTTACAAGTGTTTGACTTAGACATAAATGATTTTCGAGGTCAAAGTCGTTAACCAATAACGGTGCGGTACCGAGCCTTTTTTTTTTTAAAGATGAAAAGGCTTCTCTCTTTAGACCCAGTTTTAAGTCAGCGCGAGCCCGAAGAAAGAAAATATTATTTATAAGCGAAGCCGCAGGTGAGACACCAACCGAAACTAAATAATTGTTTAAAATGAACATTTTTTAGCCTGTGATTGATACAATTAAAAGTGCATTGGTTACTTGACTTAAACTATCAAAATTATATATTACGTGTTATTTTTTAAGCAAAATTAAAATAATTTCTGAAAGGTCAAAGCCTGTGTTGATTTACAACTCAGTTGAACAGATGGGCATAATGTGATTTTTCTAGTTATAAATTGGTTCACTGAACTTAAAAGCTTGAACCCTTTATTTAAAGATCTTCAATCAGCAGAAGCACATAAAGTTACTTAACTGATTTATAAAAAATAATGATTGGCAGGATATTTTTCCCAAATGTGTATACAGCACTTCCTATCTTGTTGACTATACCTGTACTACAACTGTCGCTAAACGGAAACGAAGTTTTAGTACATTAAAACATTTAAAAAATTACTTACGTTTCTACTATGTATCTGAAAAGACTGTCATATCTTGGAATCTTTTCCATAAAAAATTCTATTGAAAAGAGGTTAAATTACTGCGAATTAATAAAAAAATTGCAAGGGCATAAGCCAGAAAGCTGGCCATCTAGGCTTTTCATTAAGTTTGTTGTTGGTAGTTCTTTTATCTTTTTTAACACTGTCTGCAGATCAACAGTTTAAATAAAAGTTGTCAAACAAGATTATTAACTCTTATTATGAGAAATAATCTGTACAACTAGTCACCGCAGCATGGCAAGCACAGGCCGCGAGCCCTGAGTCAGATGAAGCTGTAACAGCCGCATAGACTAACAGCACTAACATCTCGAAAATAGAAAAAGTGGCGTTGTCAACCGCAATAGAGTAGTGCAAGCAGAATGGACAACATTTCTTTAATATAAGCTGAACAAATGGTATGCCAAGAATGACAGACACAACTGTGCTTGCCCTGCATATACACCTGTAGATATTTGATAGGTCTAATATTATTTAAAATCACAAAAAAGCAACTGCATAGTATAATAAACACTAAAGTTTTGTATTTACAGAGGTGCCACTATGAGATTTTGCTCCACCTAAAATTTTGCTAAGGCCGCCACTGGATAGATGGACAGAAAAATCTGTATTGCACTCAAACAAAAACACAATTTGTTACAAAAGCGAACTTAATGCCGAAAAGGCATTTTTTATCAGCTAACCTTTAGTAGTGTGGTAAGAGCTATGGGTAGAGCCGCGAAGAGAAAAAACTCGAATCTATATTTATCTTTATCTATCTCTAACTAATGACTCGCCCTATTTCACATAGCTACCATTCACTACTTATTTTTTAGTTATCTTTTTACCACTTGGTCATGAATGCGTTTAAACATCTTTAATTACATAGTTTTTGTCCTTTTGAGAAATTTTAACCTCAAAAAATTATTTAAATAACGTTTAAATTTTATTAAAATCTATTATGAAATGAGTTTTAATTGAATATACAGAGAAGCAGATAATGGACTTTGTTTGGTGTACATATCTTCTATGCTCAGCTCTGTCGAAATTATAATTTTGCTAAGATAATTAATTTTATTATGACCACTGTGATAATTTTCAAATAATTTACAAAGTAATTACCTGGGAAATAATATATTACCCTATATCGGATATTAATTGAGCGACAGAAATCCACAAGCAAACATTCATGATCCCACTAGCCAAAGTCGCGAAATTAGCCAAGGCGGTCATGTGTAAAACAGGACCGACTTACACCTCTCCACGATAATCCTTTTAGAAAATGCCTTTGTTTTAACCACCTGATTATTACCATCTTTCGATTTTAAAGAATTCCAGCCAATTTTTTTAAATATACCAAAGGTATTTAAAATTTTACGATGCTAATGTTCCGAATATGAACCATTCATGGATTGCAATTAGTAACAAAATATAGCAACATTATTTTCAATTTCGACATTCGTTGTTGTAAATTGGTCGCCGAAATAAAAAAGAATACTTTGGTTGGACAGAGATAAATACTCAAAACACAACCCAAAAATCAGCAATTTAAATTTTTACACAAATTTTTAGGCGCCGGCTGGGATTAACCCTTAATTTTATATATAGAAGATTAATTCTCTCATACTGAATGATATGCCCGAATTACAATATTAGGATAATTATGTCAGTGGAAGTACTCGCACTTCAATATTCAACATTATACATATTGTAATTATATATACGTTTTTTATTATTTAAATCATAATTTAATTTGCCGTGTGGTGGTGGCGCAAGAAAATCCATCACTCCCCTTCTGAAAGACTGGATATCTAAAATAATCTTAGGACTTCAAGATAATCTTGTTAACACGTTTAAATAGACAGGCACGTGAAGCAGTTAAATAGCAGTTGGTAAGCAGTTAAACAACAACAAAGGTGTGAGACGTCTGGTACCGTGAATCATCTATCCGCCTGAAAAACGTTACCATTTAGACAAATCCCCGTTACAATGGGGAGGCTGTCTCTAATATGACATTTTATGGGCTAATAATAATGATGATGATGATGATGATGAATCTAATTACCCAACTTACCCAACATCCTAATCACTCTTCTTTGCGATGTGCCGTAACGATATCTGATGTGAGTACTAAATCTTTCCGACCCATTAGTACTTAAATTTTTCGTCGGATGCAAAACACGAGATGTGCGTAACTTAACTCCTATAAACACGTATAACACAGTAATTACTGACATTGGTGCAACGAAGAACACAAAACTAGATATAACAAACACTTGGTGAACACCGGGTCCCTTGACTGTGCAAGCACTTACGCTCTGGCCGTTCTCAACGTAGAACACAATGCCAAATTGCATCGCTTGTGGCACAGCTGTACATAAAGCGCATATCCATATTGCTATAATAAAACGCACCGCTCTTGATAGCTTCGACATCGTATGAGACATAAAAGGTCGACAAATAGCTATATACCTCTCCACGGTAAACGCTGTTATTGTTAAGACTGTAGCATTCGCTGATGTCTCTGATGCTAGTCCCAACGTTATACAAAATGCTTCTCCTAATGGATATGTAAGTGGATTCCAGAGACGATATGCTTCGATCGGTAATCCGCACATGAGAAGTATAAGGTCAGAAACAGCAAGGCTAAACAAATAAAAGTTAGTCGCTGTGTGCATCGATCGATTTCGTGCAATGACAAAACACGTGCTTAAATTTCCGAGAATCCCAGCCACGAATATAAGTCCATATATAGTTGTTAATGGTATTACCAGGCTTAATGAATCTGGTTCGTAAAATGCAGAAGAGCTGGTTTCGTTCGTGTGATTAAGCGTTGCCAAAACCTTATGTTCATCCTCCATTATTAACTGGAACCGTTGAGAGAACCAGCTTTACCTGCAAACAAGAAAAACTTGTTTTGATGATTCTAAAATAAAAATAATATAGCAAGTGTTGCATTTTTATAGTTGATGGGTACTGTTTTTTACCTATTTCTATTTGGTTACATATTATTATTAATTTTGATTATGCTTATTTCCTAGATACTCATAACATAATTTACTGTTTTATACTTTTTATAACGAATATGAAGCACTCAAGTCAATAATAAGAAAATAATCAGGTCGCTTAAAATTACACGTTAAGGTCAGGTAGAGCGTCGCCTCTAACTAACAATTCGGTATCTCTTAAGAACTGACAATGAAGTTATTTTATTTGAAAAAAATATTACCCTTAAAAATACTGACTCCAAATTTAGTGTATATTTTAGAGTGGATCCAAATAAAACTTACGCAGTTGATGAAAGAAAATGAGTTTTAAATGTTATATGTTACGAGTAATATAATTATCTGGTTATATTACGCCTTTGATTTAATACTCAAAGTCTTACGCTGCCATTTCAGTATTACGACTCTTTCCCTATCTTGCTAGTTACCATTCACTCTAGATGTTTTATCAAATTTCATCAAAAACTTTTCATTTAGGACATTATTCAATCATTTCTCTAATGCAGACCTTGTGGACGGTATAGAACGCTGATTACAAGCTTATTATATTATATAACTTATTACGTGAATGATCCTCATGCATTGGTCATTTTGTCGCATTAATCATTTAATCGCATTTCAGGACAGCTTGCACGACTCTAAAAAGATCTCACTGGAGTTTCTTTTTCTCTCTCTTTGTTAAATAAATATTTCTACCGCTTTTTTCCATTTTTTATCTTTCTTTATTCTCTTTAAAGCAAGGATCATTGGGATAGTTATGTAGTTTATCAACAACGCAGTTTCAGAACGAATGATGCCGATGGCATGCCGATTCATAAGAAGATCATGCATCATGCGTCAGTAGTCATGGTGAAAAATGGATTTAATTGTCAATTAAACCCCAGTACGTAGTTTGCATGTCATTCGCATCAATCAATACGACAAAACGATCATGCATGCATGACATCACGGTAAGCAAGTTATGCCGCATTTCCGTCTAGAGCCTACTTTGTATAGTTTTAATTTATTTGCTTATACTTTACTATTTATTAATTCTTAAAATTAATGGAAGTTTTGGGGGCGTGGCTTATTCCTTTGTCGATGAAGCTAACGGATAACTGAGGGAGTGTCAAAATGAAAGTGATGCAATGACTTCATAGTACGCAAATTATGAGATAGCCATACCGAGCAAGCGCTCGGAAAAAAACTATCTAAGCGCCAAACAACTTTTTTATTTATTTTAACAAAACTTCGTTATGGATTAAACAACTGGTTTATGAGAACTTAGATATGATTATTTACTATGCCTTAAAAATAATTACATGATTTTATTTGTAAGAATTTTGAGGTGTCATGGAGAAATGTAAATAATTAGATTATATAATTAGCCTATTTTGCAATTTTTTTCTATCGAGAAAATTACATGATATCGTGTTTTCCTTTTATGCAATCCAAGATCATATAGTCAAATTTCATATACCAAAATTTTGATTTGTAATCTATAAAACTTAAAAAAATATATTAAATAGAAAACCACCAAACTTTCGAGATATCACCTTAACCAATAAGTTTTTGGAAACGCAATGAAACTCTAAGATGAGTATGTTTAAATTTTATTTCCTTTGAACGTAATCTCTTTTTAGGCTAATACTAAATTTATATTAGCCTAAATAATAATCAAATTGAGTAAAGTTTTTAATTTAGTTTTTCAAGCCTCGGCTACTACTAACTAATTTTAGATTCGAAAGAAATAAAACGGATTTCTATATCTCATTGAAAAGTGTCATATTCCGAAAACTTATAGATCAACCTGGTAGTTTCAGTATTTTAAATAATAGGTTAAATACAGTACCCTAAGATATACATAACATGAGATAATTAAATTACGAAGTCATGAATATTATTATAGACGATAAAAACTGACGTGTTTTTCTGATTAGAATTACAAACAGTAAGAATATTCATCATGTTTGTAGTAAAATTTCCACTGGATGAACAATTATAACGTCTATTAAGGTTATTATGTATTAAGATTACTGTGTATTAAGGTATTATTAACAATTATTTTGCTGTGAACAAAAAAATTAACACGAAGATTTAATATACATAGTTTTGTATAATGTATGTAATGTATGCAATTCATCAAATGTTGATGATTTTGTTATAAATGTATCTTTTTTAAATCTAGCTTGTTTGCTCCTCAAAATTCTCATGACTCTAAGATACCATTGAAAGGCTGCATCAAAATACAGCTTCATACAACCAATGGTGTATCAACCAGTGGCTTAGCGTCTGGCTGCACTAGCGCGGGCCGCGGGTTCGATTCGTGCGCGGAACAAGTATTTTTGTATAGACAACAAAGCTTAACCAAGCCGATTGTATGTCCATTGTGCATATCAGTTATATACAGTTGTATATATATATATATATATATATATATATATATATATATATATATATATATAGTTGCCACGCTCTTGGCATATAGATTGGCAACCACAGTTTTTTTTTTAATTTTCAGTTGCCAGAGTTAATTATTTGATAGACGCAGGCGCCCATGTCCTGGTTTGTTAGCCTCTGTCGACTCTCACGACACCCACGGTACAATATGGGGTTAGGGCTATTCTTACACTGCTACTACCATTGACTTATCCCTTTGAAATCATTGGCTTCTACACGATGAGTAGGTGCGTACAATTTTTTAATACGGTTTACGCACATCACACCGTATAGAAAAAATATATATTTTTTATTTATTTATTTATTCTTTATTTTATTTCCTAAAACAAAATAATGCAAAGGACGTACTTAATGGGTCGAGTAATTTTCTACCAGTCAACCCATGGAGTGGTGAGAAATTGAAAGCAATGTAGAATAAAAAACAAAACAAAAATGATAATTAGCATAGTACATACATTTTACCAATGAATAAACTATACAAATATCACATATGTATACATATTTATATACATATACAGATACAAATAACTATGAATATATACGCCTGTTTAGCAATACATATGATATGAATGATTAATGTAAGAAGCGTTATCTTCAATAGTTCATTACGTACCAACTTTTTAAAAGTATAATTATTGGGTGTGTTTTTGATGTCATCGGGCATGCAGTTCCAAAGACGTTTAGCCTGGAATGGGAAGGAGTTACCATAGAACACGTTGAAGTGAACAGGAATACAGACTTTGTTCTTAGAAAAATAACGTAGAACCCTTCCATAAGAACCCTATACACAAATAAAGAAACAATGTATTTTTTACTATGGCTATATATACCATAAAAAATATACTTTTATTTTCTTTGTCTTTCCCTTAAATAGCTGGTTAACAGCCCCTGCTTAATATTCGAGAACGTAATATGTGTCCCTTCATCGTTAGGTGGCAATAAGACCTTTCTGGAATTTAAATGTGACGGATCAGATTGTGGGGCAAGATAGCAAAATGGATTCCTTTATGACGCTGTCGCCAATGGTGTGTTTTATTATTAAAGTTTACAGGCCAATGGTATACCAGTGCTAAATAAAGCCTCCCCCAAAGATGGGTCCGCTTCACCGGGGTAGATCCACTATCTCACAGAATACCAAGCTAATATAGCAGCTTAATTAATATAATGATTTCTTATATTTACGCGAACACTACACATTGATTAAAACTACTTTTACGGATTTTATCGCTTTTAATTTTAATTATTTTTATTTTTAATTCCCGACGTTTCGGGTGCTTTCCAGCACCCATGGTCACGGGGGACTGAGGTGACTGACGTCCCGATGTCATTGTTAAACCCGGAGTACCTTCAGCTTTTTTAATTATTGTTTATGGTCCTATCTATGCAAAATGAACTGACTATGTCTTGAGGTCTTGAGGTCTTGCAGGTCTTTGCTTGCAGGTATGCTTGTGTTTAGTTTTAATTTTATTGATTATAGGGCCCCAAGCACTTGAATTGAAATTAGGATGTTTTTTTTTTAATTTCAATAGCCTCACGTATCATCATTGGTAGGAAAGCGCGAAAGAACCACCGCTGGCCAGCATTGCCACCGCTGGGTATATATTTTTTAGTTTGTTAAATTTTAAAAACAAATAGGTTCACAGCAGTTTTGCGCTCAAAAGATTCGAATTGCAAAAGATTTATATCAAAGTATATATGATTTTACAATCTTATAATTTTGATACTTTTCGTATTAAAAGTTAACAGAATACGAAAAATTATAGAGTTAAAAAAATGGTGCATTTAGTGTTTTACATCACTTTTCATGACAAATTTAATTGTAGTTCTATAACATAAAATAGATTTATCGCCCTCGTGTGTAATATCGTGTTCAATTTAACACTTGTAGTACTTTTCACTCCCATAAAGATCCCATACAAGGCCTGTACCTTGAGTCGTTTCATATTAGTTCTCAAAGATACCAATGCATCCATAGCCTACTTTTTGAAGTTAGTAACAGTTTACAAGTGTTCATGTCATTATCATTAATATAATGGAGACTGTTAGCTCGTTGCTTTGACTTTTATATTATAAAGAAAAAGTTTCTTGTTAATTATTTTTGAAATTAAAAAAATATTGAAAATCATTTAAATTATAAAAGTCATATTTCAATTAAATGTACACTTTGGGTTACATGGATTTATTTTAAGAGTGGACGGGTTTTACCCGTTTTACTTTTTCACTAAGGGTTAGCG